TTGATTGAAACGTCACTACTTTGTGCAAAGCTGCTTTGTTTCACTGTAGCTTTGGTTGAGTCACTGGACATCGCAAAAACATTACGCTTGAGAGATTGTGTGGTCGCGAGAGACGACAGACGATAAGAGTGATGGAAGTGTACGTGACTAGAGAGACGTTGGAAGGTCCGCAATTGCGTAATGTCCGAGACTACGGGTGACTTCACATCGATGCTTATGCAACGAATTATAACTTCCTCAAAATCTTTTAGTTTGAAAATTGCTTCATTGATTTTCTGCATGGTATGAAAAGTACTTGCCGACCAGCGTTAGAGAAAAATCATTAGAAATCATAGCCAATGTCATGCGTAAGAAATCGAAAAATTTAATGAAATTAAACGAAATTTTGAGAAGGAGGCGCCAAAAATGCTTGATAATTAAAATTTCTAGTTAGATTTTTCTTCAAGTGATAGCGTTAAGGTGCTAGCTCAAAAACAGAATGCTTTGTCGCCTCTACTCTTTCAAGATAGTACTAAATTTTCCTTTTCCTCCCATCAGAAACAACCAAAATTTATTCAGTATTATATAAGTCTAGTCTATAGTGTAACCAAGTGTAAAAACAATTTTTCTTATGAAAAGCGTGTGCCGATGATCGATCATGAGGGTTTGTCTTGACAGATAGCCGGTGTTAGCTGTCGTCTCAGCCTCAGGATTAGTACACCTTTGACATTGCGGCTGCGGCGAGAGTGTGGATGGTTTTGTAGGTTGAGAAGTGAAACATGAAACTTCCGCATGAAACCGTTGAAGTTCAAGTTCGAAAAACACTTGTGATAGGATATCTCAGCGTTTTGACCGGAAAACGTAGGAGTTATGAAAGGATGAAGCTTGGGTTTCTGGTTGGGAAGGTGGAACGAACCGGTGGGGAAATGGATGAATCAATCAATGGATGAATGCGATGACAGATTCTTAGCAGGTAAAGCTAATAGGTAAATCTCCGAAAACCAGGTTTTTCTTGCCGCCCCCTTAGGGTAGAGCACGAAAGAATTCCCAAGGGCTCCCATAGATGGAAGTAGCCTGAAGCAGGGGCGTTGAATTACGGCAAATAATGTTGTTGTGTCGAGGTAAGCAAGAAGAATTGAGCTCCCCTGAACTGAAAAAATCGCCCCAACCTCATAAAAAATTCCATTCAGCCTAACTATTCATGTGAAATTTTGAAAATTAGACCGAAACCGTAGGATGAGAAGAAGCGCGAAGAAAGTTGGTCGGCATGGGACGGAACTCTTTATGAACAATTTTCCTTTGTGAGAAAGAAAAACTGAAGAGCGTTCATTCTCGAGATTCTGAACAAAGGGTGAACAAGAAATCTGGAAAAGGATGGAGTGGTGGTGGATGAGAAAAGAAGAGATAATGCAATGCGCTCGATAATGGGCCTGAAAAGATGAGACTGGTGGGTAATGGAAAGTGTTCTACGGGCTTAGGGGGAAGTTAGGAGAGAAGATGTTGATAGATTTGTTTGCAGAGAATTTGGGCGAGACTACTCGATTGAGAAATTTCGAAAAAGCGGGGATTTTGGGAAGGTTTAAAGTCCAAATGGGAAGGAAAACTTCTTCCGTAGCAGGACTAGCTTCTCCCTAGGGATCTGATAAGTAGGGCGAGTAAAGTGGTCCTAGTCTAGACAATGGCTAGATTTCTTGAAATGAAGCTATAGCTTACGCTTATGACAACTGATAGGGGAGAAGGAGGGGGGGGGGAGTGGTCGGAAGTATTCGAACAACCTGTCGAGAACGTGCACTTGTTCGAGAAAAATTTGTAACGGTGCTGATGAGCTAAGAGAAATTACACAACGAATCAGACGCAACTGTCCTCTTGGGATGCCAGTCAACGGTGTAAGAAAGAAGCGCATGGAACGGCCTAATGGGCTAATGATGATGATGTAGAGCCCTCCGAATTTTTTTACCCCTTAAGATAGTCCAAAAGTACGAAATAATGAGGGTCCTGGAACGACAGAGCTGGGGAAAAAAACGAGGTTCTTGCAAAAAAGCATGCAGATGAGTGGAGGTAAAGTTTGGAAGTTCGTGCAGAACCTCAGAAGTTCGGTTCAGTCCCAAACAAATTTTCTGAGCTCTGCAACTGAGTGAAAGTGGAATAACAAAAAACATGTGGCAAAATCCTCAGAAGTACATGAGCATGCGAAAAATCCGTGCCTAGGTAAACATTTCAATCATTTTCATGCTTATGAAATTCTATACTCAGGCGGTTACACTTAGAATCCAGGCTACCTTACATACGTTTTTTTGACCGAAATCTCTGACTTCTAGCCATGTCATAACTATTCAGAAAGAAAATAATTGCAGTGTTTTTTTATAAGTTGTGAGGCAAATCTTTGCCCCCCCCCCCTTCTTTGTCCATCAACCCCCTCAAATAGAAAAAAATCACAAGCTGCTTATATAATTCGGCGAGTATTCGAGTGGCTACAGTATTTCATGAGCGCGGCTTGAAGTTTGCAGAGTTTTTCCTTAAATGAGCGCTCTGTTGAAGTTCGTTTTTTCGTTTTATGAGCTCATTGAAGAGCTCCAAAGTTTGCTCAACAACCCATTGAATAGCTTGCAAATCATTAAGAGATTATTGGAAGAGATTTTGCATTGCTTGCAGTAATTCCTACGTAGCAGATTACCGAAAAATGAGGTTCCAAATTCATTAAAAGTTTTCAAAAATTGAGATTATCAAAAAAGTGGCCCCACTTACAGAATGGGTCACAAAGTTATAGAAGAGAAGATAAGTTTGAAAATGTGTGCAAATGCACCCCAGCGCGCCTGGGAGATTTGTTGGAACTTCCATTTTACAGTAATTAAGGTTGAACTTGACGAATTGTCTCGAAAGAGTGTTATGTTTGCTCAGAATAAATGGCACTTGCATAGATATAATGGACTAGTGAGGATATTCGAGTTGTGTAATTGCACAAAATTTACTGGAATCAGTTAAAGTAGTAACATTTTGTCGTAGGCGATCGATAGGCACATTTGTTCATTACTATTAAAACGCATAGAGCCCTTGGTTGCAATCTTCATTTTTTACTATGTCTCGTCAGAAGCATTGTGACCGTTACGCGCACGCTGTCGCTTACTGAAAAGGAACACTCAGAGTAGGCGCAAAGATTTTGGTAATTTCTAGGTAAGAGCATTACAGTTTTGAGGCGAATTTTCCATATCAATATATCTGGTGCAATAAATGGAACGCATAAAAATTGCTGAAAAATTGTTTTTTTTTCTTAGAGGAATAGAGAGATCAATGAGGGTAATAAGAGTATATGGAAAAGATCAGATAGATTGCGAAGAATTTACGACAGGATTGGTACGATATTTCGAGATGTTGCCGGCTCTGCCATAGGAAACAAAGGAGAAAAGTCTAGAAACATCCTCGAAAGTCGTAAATCATATCCGTGCCACCATTTCTCACAAATATTCGAAAAGTTGACACAAAGTAATTTGTAATCGCGAACAAATCACTCAAAATGGATGAAAGAGCACCGCCACCGAGAGCCGGGAGTTCCAGCCCTTGGTCCAGTCGATGGTGTCGATAAAGCAGCGATCAGACACCGAATGACTGATGATTTTCCACACCTCCAGCGAGGCTTCGAAGGAATTGTGTGTTTGACGAAAGAGATGACAGCTCCGAGGCGATTCGCCAATCGGCAGCAGTGAAAATGCAGCCAACAAATGAGATTGCACTACCGATTGAGCAGCCCGCGCGGTCTCCTCTGGGGACCGCTCTCCGGACTTGTCTTTATCTTTTACGTGTGTGCTGTGTACTTTGAGAAATCGTCTTCAGCTGTTTTTGGTCAAGAAAATGCTAAATTCGTGTGGTCGCGTCCAGCACAGCTGGTCTGAGGCTCGATTTGAAGAACACGATTTATTGCGAAGGGAAAGTGTTTCGAGATTACCTCCAGCAAGCGAGGAAGATTCAGCATTTATGGGGACAAAGTTCAGAGCCCAAAGACTATTTTAGCCTCAATCGAACAATGCAATGCCTCCTAGAATAAACACAGTCTATAAGACACAGTGAAAATAAATCAAAGCGGAGGGTGGCGGTAGGATGAGCTGCCCAAAAAGTTTGTAATAATCACTGCTATCCTCGCAAAAAAATTCGTAAAGAAAACGGTAAATTTTGGCATTCTGTGTACATAGAGCTCCCCTAGGCTAAGCTATAACAAACTAAAAATTGGACTTCCACGAAATGACAAGTCTCCCCCACTTTTGATTTCTTTGGGTAAAGAAAGCAGACACAATCAAAGTCAAATCTGACCGCTTCCAGACTTGGCAAGTTGCCCTTCTTCAGGCCCCGTTCTCATTTTGACGTCGTAGACCAAAGTTCTTGATCGTATCTATAAACAAACGCGTTGGTTTGAAGTTTTCCAGAAAATTTCTATAAAATTTTGCAGGTTTTCGAGTCTCATGTCACTCCTATGTTTGCCTGCAAGCAAAATAACTCTTATAGGTTTCCTGGAAATTTTCCAGTTTTGGACGATTTAGATCAGTCTAGAAAATGCGTTCAAGATACCATCACAGGAAGTTTGACTGCACTCACATTTGCAAGGAGCAATTCGCCGAACTTGGTAAATACGCTACGATTACGGTAACTTCTGTGCAGGTCTCCAAAGGAAATCTTGTAAAGCAGACTATCACTAATGATTTATCTGAAAAACCCTCAAATTACCCATAAGCTTTTGAACATAGTTTTTAGGGAATCGAATTAGCGGAATCTGCAGTACCTACTTTTCAACTGTCCATTCCGTTTTAACTTACATTAGATGTAAAATTTTATAAGCATGCCTAAAGGTCAAGGCTTTCTTCTATTTTTGGATTCTCATGTTTTCATCTTGTCTTTATGTTCAAAATCTTGACCGGAATCCAAAAAAATTTTTTTGGAACATTTTCGTCATTTGCGTAGGCCCTACAACCTGCAAGCTTGTTGTGTATGAAGTATGAAGATTTATTAAGATGTGCACAACCAGTAAATCACACGTCACCCTAACACAGGCAATATATCAGCACCTTAGTCTGTCTTTTTAAAAATATGTTCCGGGTTTATCGATCATTGCAGGCCAAACGCTTGACCAGAGCTGAACAGGTGGGCCCTGTCAAAAACTGAACAATAGAAGATTTTACAAATTTCAAACATATCGATGTGAAAACACGCGATCAGGCAGAATGCTTGTATCATGCCATCAGATATGGGGCTCTCAAACTGATCACTAATGTCGTGACAACCATGATCACGGAAAATGAAATTAATCCTAGACGATCGACAACAATCGCCGCAAATCGCCATTCTAGTGCAGCTTTACCATCCTCTTCGCTGTCATCAGAGTGCTCGCGGATCATCTGCAAAATTATTTTTCAAAAATATTGATTTTTTAAGGGCATCTGCTTACTTTTACATGATCATGAATCTTCTGCAGAACACGAAGTCGTTCGACCAACCTTTTATCATCAGCTGCTTTTGCATTACTCTCAACCTAAGTACTGTAACTCCTCTTCAATAATAATATAAAGGTCTCTCACCTGATACAGAAAATTCTCGAAATTTTCCGTCAAAGCCAGACCACCAGTGGAATCCTCGTCATCTTCCTGAAATCCTGTCCTTATTTTGTAGGAAGTAGGGCCCATTAATTTCTCACATCGTCAAACGATTTCGATCCTCGTCTTTTCCTCTTTGCCCAGGTTTCCTTGATAGTGGTCATGGTATTTTCTCTAGCGGGGAACTGCATTCGTAAAAGCCAAGGGGCCCATTCGAGAAGCAGAAATCGCATCTGAAATAATCAGAATAGATTTTTGTAGCATCAAAAAGGCCGACTGAGAATCAGAGCTAGGAGGATACAGTGCGAGGAAAGGGCAGTAAGAGGGTTTACTTACAATTTTTACCAGTTGTGTCATAACAAGGTTTTTAAAAAGCTCACTTAAATAACATATGCTCACAATAATGAAGGATATGAATGATCTACAAATATACAGTAGTTGCATGAATATTCTTTGCTATACCTAATTCTAAATTTTCAGTGGGAATCCCTGACTTTCCTAAGAATTTTCAGCAAAACTTCAGCATTTTTCTTCTTCCTCATCCTTTTTCTCTCTTGCCTGTATATCCTTTCGAGTAACGAGAACTGTGATTCAGATTTTCTAACAGATTTTGTACTTTCAAGCACTAAGAGCATGAGGTATGAAGTACAAGAGATTTTTGACATTTTCAAAGGTATCTCGTGTCAAATCTCGCTAGGACCTCATCTTTAAAGCTTGACCTTTCTCTCCACTTTTACTTCTTGTCATTCACAATTATGAACTTTAGTATTCATGATTTGACAAAGTCCACACCTTATCAAGATCCGCCGAATGCTATGAACTTACCCAAAAGCCCATTCGTTCCGTGTTTTGTTGACTTTTGAAATGATAACTCTGCACAAACACCGTAAAAGCTGTTGCCAAGGTTGAGATGAGGAAACAGCTTTGAAAGAAGACACCTAGGATTTATTTCCGTAAATTGGTAATGAGGAGTGGGAAATAAAAGAATTTACCCAGCAGAGGTACAGCTTCAGAAGTCCGAGGTGTCATCTCGTTCATAAGTGTGAGAAAAATGCAAATAGCTAAAGAGACGGAAATTTGCAGACCGACTTTTTCGCAAGTTTCTGGACAGAGTGTAAAGCCTAGCACAACGAGAATCATTGTGAGCATGCATGGCATAATCAAGTTAAAAGCATAGTACCTAAATATAGACATTTAGTGTAAAAAATTCCATTTTTGATGAGATCGATAGAAAAACTAACAGCGTGCGACGTCGAAGATGAAGAGTGAATTTTATATCTTCGTACACTTCTGGACAGCACTCATATTGTTTGGATGTGACATTAGCGTCCGTATCTGAATAAAAAGAATGTTTTTGAGAAGAAGAATGATTTTGGAGTCGAACATACGCAAAATAATCCATTCTCCGTTTTCCAGATACTCCGAGTAATCCAAATCCCCGACTTGTAGCTCGATTTTGTCTTTACTGGATGACCACGAACCAAACTGTATTTCTATACTCATAAGCTATCAAAGGGCGTAAACATATACTTACCTTGAAAAAGCAAACTTGCTCATCAAATGGGAACCAATAGATATCTAATTTGCATGAAATTTTGAAAATTCCAGGTGGCATCCAGCTGATCACACCAGAATGATAATTTAATAAATTGACTTTGTATGCCGTGTCGAAGGCTGGATCCACACTAAAAAGGTAATAATTCAATTTTTAGTTGCTTTCGTGAACATCTGGTTCACGGTAGAACAAAAGAGAGAAATCAGCAACAAATCTGCTCTTTCAATTTCACAAATTTTCTAAGAATATACTTTCTGCATGATATTAAGTGTGTGTGTCGAAAAAAATAGAACTCTACTTGAATTTGTAGAATATCATCATTCTACCATTTTCCTACCTCTCTTTTTTGCTAAAGAAAAAATCCAATGTAAAAAAACAAAAAATGAAAATTTTGATGAAAGCTTTAGTGTAGCATTTCTCCATTTCTATAACCCAGTGACCTCAGGTAGACCTTAATAAAATAATGTGAATCATATCCTTTTTTCAATTTGATGGAACTTTCGACATTTATGTTATTGTGTTACTTCAAGTTGAGGATTTTTTGGTTTTTCAATATTTTTTCTAGTGAAGACCAATGATGTTTTTATCAATGAAGACAAACGTGGTAGAATTTTCGTGAAAATTCTGGTACCTGTTGTACAGCAGAATATCTGGTTGCCATATAGTCCCAGCTGGATGCCTTATATCCGTCACATTGCCATAAGCAGGAGGTTCCCAGCGCAAGTTCTCATCTGTCCACTGATATTTCAACCAAGCGCTGACCTCCAACTGCTCTTCTTTTTCGTTCTAGAAAAAACGTCTTATTTGATTTGTTTGAGATCAACATCTACAGTACCAAATTTATAATTTGTTGCATAGCCAGGCCAAGGGTAACGACGACAGGTTTACTGCTGTCCAGCACTGGTCTTTCTTCTCGTACATATCCAGCAAGGAGATCATTCATCAAGCGAAATTCTGGCGGAGAGCCAGAGATTCTAGTGACATAAATAATAAGGCAGAGCAACGATAGTAGCAGCATCTTTGGGTAAAAATGTGGGCCTAAAATTTCTCCCTAGATTATGTAAATTGTACGAAATGAAACAGATCCTGCAGTGAATGTAAACAAAAGCAATCAACTTACCTCGATACCCTGTGTAGTGGAGAAGATGGGCTGCAAATTGATAATCCTCAGGGATTTATTAAGGCCACAGGCGAGCCTACGCAGAAATCCATTTGGAGATGCTGGAGATCTGTACTATACAAGGGTCACTTTACTACATATAAATTTTTTTACTGCTGGATAAACAAGGAAAAAAATCAGAACGAACGGAGCAATGAGTGTCTGGAGGGCAATGAATAAAATAAAGCCTGATCAATTTGCTGAGAAAGGTCAATCTTTTTACGATTTCAAATTTACAATATTAATCTAGAAAAATTTATGAAAAAGAGTATAATAGTGGGACTGACAAACAAAATGAAAAGTGCAACGGGTTTCGAACTATTGAGGACTGATCCCTGGAGGTGATAAGAAATCTCAACAGCTGGTTCTACTCTCATGGGAGTTTTTTTTTGAGTTTTTAGTAAAATTTTCAAGAAGTCCTGAACTGATAATACAAATCCATAGGACTGACCATACCCTTCCCCTCTCATCCAATAATCAAATTTCATTCTTCGAGAACTCGATTAACATTGTAATAAAAGGGGGTGGAGGCGGGACTGACTGCGTTTCTTCTACAAGATGAAAACCTTAGATTAACGGCTGTGAGTAACAAATTAATACTATTAAGATTATTAGGACATAAATATTTATTGATAGCTCCTAAGAATTTTCAAGTGACTGCAAGAAATGTATAATGTTTTTATAAATACAAAAATTATGGAAGACATAACTTAGTGTTATATTAAGCCCATAGGAGAAGTGAAAAGCTTTTAGGTCAAAGGTCAAATTATTTGCAGAGCAGTTGAGCTACAGCAATCAAATAAAATTCTGAGCATAAGAGAGATTTGCTGAAGGGCTGAAATGTACCACTTCAATCCGTGCTGTAACAAAACTGAGCAGCTGCTTTGGCTCTGATGACCGAATGACGAACGAAGCATAATGTGTTGAATGAACGATGCGTGTATGAGAGAACACTCGTCGCTTCATTCAAAGCTCGACGAACTCAATGGAAAATTGAAAGTTTTTTCTTCGCTAAGACAGGCAGGAAAACTTCATCATTGCTTAGCAGTGCCACACAAAAGATGTAGATGTCTCAGTGTGTGACACACACACTGCCCGGAGAGAGATAAGTAGAAATCGATGTGCTCTGGAAAGAAAACTAACGGATTCATAGGAAGTGAGATTAGTGCAAAGTGAGCGGCCCGATAGCCTCCTGGAGTCCATTGTTCTGTGCATCCGCATGTATTCAGCTCGCTTTGGTTCCTGGAAATTACACTGGATCAGAAGCAGGGATGCTCTAGAAGCAGAAAAGAATTTGCGAAAGATCTCATGATTTCTACAGTATGTTACCGTATTCCCTTGTGGCGTTGCTTACGCAATTGCGGTCATGGACGTTTGAATTTGCGCTGGCGCGAAAGTGCTGTGCAAGCATAAAACTTTTTAATTTTTCTTCTTTTGCTTTTCTTCAATCATATTATCCAATCTGCCGCCACCGGATCTCCACTTCAGATTATGATAGATAGTTGTGCAATTACACGAAGCGGCTGGTCAAATAAGGACAGCTACAGTCGAGTAGATTTAGCGGTAAATATAGTGTGCTTGCACAGAAGGTGAAATGCGGTGAAATTGGCGCGTGAAGAAATAGTTTCGACGGTGACGCCGGCCAATTGCGCGCGCAAGATACTCGCGGTACTGACGTGGCTACTTTTTCACGCGCAAATTTCACCGCATTTCACCTTCTGTGCAAGCACACTATATTTACCGCTAAATCTACTCGACTGTATGTAGCTTCTCTAATAGTTATGTATGAGCGTTTGACACTATCAATAAAAGATGAGAAACTATGAAGGGAAAGCTACCATCACATTAAGGTAGGTATACTGTAGCACACGTGCCTCTTCTGCAGCCAATGTAGCCTCTGGTTTCTGACACAAGGAAAAAGTCCTTCTATACAGTGTAATTTGATTATGATGCATATTTGAGTCAAACCTGTGCCTTTACTTCTCCAAAAACCATGCCTTCTTTCACAACGACGGACCTTCCTAGTCAACACGACATACAGACTGTGGAAAAACCTTTGACATTCGATGCTTTAGACCCAAAAGCTCAGTATCAAATTTCAGGATCAAAAAACTGGCCTAGTTTGTTAAGGAGAGCTGCACTCCTGAAAAAAATTGCAGAGAAAAGCGCATGCCCCAGGACTCAATATGACACTTGTCTATCATGCAGTGAGATAGCATCTTCCCAAAAAGTGAGTGGGCGAAAAGGTCTAGAACATTTGAGCGCAAATGGTATTGTGCAATAGCCAAGACCGTAGAACATCTATCAAATACTTAGGTGTCGTGTTTGATAGCACCCTGAAACGAGACTCGCAAATTTCAGCTACTTCTCGTGCATTCGCAATTCCGTTCACCATCTTTCGTTATATTAGAGTAGCCGATTAAAAAATATTACTGAAACTCCATAAAGCATTTGTCATCCCTATTGTAGAATATGCAAGTTGGGTTTGGAGCCCCTTTCTGAGGAAGCATAGGCAAGCTCTGGAGAACGCTTAAAAAATTTTTACTCGCTTGCTTTTCTACAGATGTTATCCCATTCGTGGTTATCACGATCGCTTCCAAGCTATGGTGAACGAATGAAAGTTCTAGGTCTTAAAAGCCTTACACAACGTAGGATCCTGCATGATATAAGTCTGGTCCGACAGGCTTTTACTCGGTACACCGTCTAGCGTAACGGTCCAGGCATGCCATCTGGTGTTGGGCGCACCATAGCACTTTCAGCCGACTGGTGTGCAAATCATTATCCGTTAACGCTATCGTACTATTAGTCCAAGCTTGCTACGTATGAAAGAAACACTTATAGGTTTATTTTTGCTAAGTGATATTTCGTGGACTTCGCATCTTCGTTATGTTCTATGTACTAATGCAAGTTTGGTGAGTTTGTGAAGTACTAACCCTCCGATTTCCCTTTGTTACAGCGCATGTTACGTGCATGAAGATAAAAGATGAAAGATATAATACTTGCTTCCAGGATTTTTAGAGGCGAGACCAAGCTAAGAGCTAAGACCTTCCAAATATTGAGTGTTCAGGCCCACTCAAGGAAGGACCACCGGGTTTTCTGTTTATTTACGTCTAAATGGTGAGCGTAAACAGTTAAACTCTTTATCAGAAAACAGTTTTTTTCGCACGCACTTCAAAATACCTTCAGTGTTTACCTAAAGAAATTTTGCCTTCTCCAGGTAGTCTCACTTTCAAACGAAGACTTAAGAAGTTAAATTTCACTGATTTTATCCAAGAAGTTGATTTTGACTGATTTTCTTCCAGAGGACTTTCTTGTCATCGCTCGTATAGTGCTACCGTTTGACTGTCGAACCTTCCCTACACCCACTGCTACGCGTGTTGCGGGCCTACTCCTGTACTATCTAATCGACCAACTCTGTCAATCTCTCACTCATCGCGCAGAAAGTCTTCGGGATCGGCCTTATGACTCCTGCGAATCCTGCGATTCCTGTGAGTCCCGCACACTCAGACAACTGGCCGGAACTTCCGCAGCGCTTTCGCAGGGTTTCCGCAGGTGACCCGGCGGAAATCCTGCGAAAGCGCTGGGGAAACCCTGCAACCTCAGGGTGCAGGGTTTCCGCAGCACTTTGTTTGGAGTTCCGCAGCACTTTGTTTGGAGTTCCGCAGCACTTTGTTTGGAGTTCCGCAGCACTTTGCGCTTTTAATTCGCGATCCGTTTGTTTCATATCAAACTTCCTTGTTGATACGAGGTTTTCCTTTCCAATACTGGGTTTTCGCTTTTTACTAAGGCATTATTCCTTTGATGTGGAAATTGCTTTAGACATTCTAGATGCTAAGAGACGTAGACAGCGAGATAGTTTTATTGAGAAAGCAAATGGCACAGTGTATTGTTTTATGCAGGTACCATATAGAATCACAATAAGCCGAAGTTGCTTATGCTTTGAGTTGCTTCCATTCATCGGGTGTCATTTTGACCTTGTGCGTGACTGAAGCCGGCTTCGGCTCCCTTTCCTTTCTGTAATAAATTAATTGAATTTCTTGATGTAAATCGTACCTTGCCGCAAATATTCCATTTTGCAACTTTTTCGCCAAGAAATAGGAGCATGTTTGGATGATTTTTTCAAATCTTCAGAAATTTCGAAATCTCAACAAGAGAAGCTCTAAGACAGATTCGAAAATTTCAAGAGTTTTCGACAAAAATTCAGGGCTCTACTTCAACTTAAATTTCTTGGAATTTTCAAATTTGGAGCGACAGCACTTTCTTTTCAACCTGATATTCCAGCATTTTCCAGACAAAACATGTATGTATCACACTCTAAGGCAGGTGTATGTAAGTGAAAGTTATTATCAATTATTGTTGAATTTTCATAAATTATTACTTAGAAAATATTAGTTGGCCCGAAAGTCCTTGCGTAATTCAAACAAAATTCATTAACCGTTCAAAAAGTAGACGTAAATTGATGGCTCGGTATCTCAAAAATAAAGGAAGATTTGCGCTCCACAACAGATGTATAAGCTAAACATTATATGAGTTAGTCACCAAAACGAAGCTTTCGAAAATGACGATTCAAATTTTCCGATTTTGAGTATGGTGCTAGAAAATCACGGAGGGCCGCTAGCAAATCCAAAAAATCTGTAAAAATTCTGTACACGCCAAAAGTCCATATGCTACTTTGGCAGGCTTTAATCTCGTACAGAAATGTAAAAACAAAAATTTTTGAAAAATGTCATTTTATCGGAAAATCCCCTTATCGCTGTAGTTTTTCCACAGAAACACTGTCTGGAACAAAAAAATATACATAGTGCCTATTTAAAACACTGTAACGTTCGAAGCGCCAAACAGTATTTTTGTTTAAAAACTACAGCGAAAGGGATTTTTTCTGTAAAATGACATTTTTCAAGAATTTTTTGTTTTTATATTTCTGTACGAGATTAAAGCCTGCCAAAGTAGCACATGGACTTTTGGCGTGTAGAAAATTTATAAAGATTTTTTTGGACTAGCTAGCGGCCCTCCTTAGTTTTCTAGCACCAAACTCAAAATCGTAAAATTTGAGTCGTCATTTTTGAAAGCTTCGTTTTCGGCGACCAACTCATATAATGTTTGGCTTGAACATCTGCTGTGAAGCGCAAATCTTCCTTTAGTTTTGAGAGACTGAGCCATCAATTTACGTCTACTTTTTGAACGGTTAATGAATTTTGTTTGAATTACGCAAGGACTTTCGGGCCAAGCTAATGATACTAATGAACCAAAAGTTCGTTCTCACCCTTTCCAAAAATTCGAAACTTACTTACTTCACATCCGATCTGCACATGCTTACTTTGAAAGAAGATACCATCTCTTTCTAATGGTACCTGAAACACCTTTTGATAGAAGTAAGCTCCAGAGATCAAAGTCGGTGAAGACAGCATCTCTTTCTAATGGTACCTGAAACACCTTTTGATAGAAGTAAGCTCCAGAGATCAAAGTCGGTGAAGACAGCATCTCTTTC